GAGAACAACGACGACAATAACAACAACAACAACGAAGTTAACAACAATAAATACAGGTAAACAACAATAGTAGCAGTGGTGAGCTTGTAAACAACACCAACGACAAGAAACAACGAAATCAACTATGACAACAACATCACAAACCACAATTAAGTGGGAAAAAAAAAACAAATCGTACATGAGTGGGGAACACTGCCCTAAAGTTTCAGATTCCTAGCTTTTCCCGTTCCCGAGTTAGCAATTTTCTCGCCAAAACTTTCACATGCTTATAGGTGAGACGCAGACGTGCGTGAAGTTCCTGAATTCGAACTTCTAGCCAGGGAAAACACCAACAAAATTTCAAGGCTAGAGGGGCAAGGGAACGGGAGGGTGAGTGAGGAGTAAAAAAACGTGGCAAAAAATAATGATGACGAATCCGAAAAGCAACAAAGTACCTTGTTGGCAGGCGATGAACAAAAGGCAGGTGAAGAACTTGATGATCTCGGCGACAGTGACGGCGGTCGAAGAAACATACCTGAAACACAAGGACCATTATCACATCTATTTCCGAGGATTCTCCGGCACCAAAACCTCACACCGATAGTGATTCTGATATGATAAAAAGGTAATTTTAAATATGAGGAAGAACAGAAAAGAAAATAATATTAAGAAATTAGTAAAACCAGTAAAATTATTTTAATAAAATTATTATAATTGTGAGAAATGTTTCAGTCCGTTAAATCGTATACATTTCTTACCATTATCACAACTGGACCTCCTCAGTACGACGACTGTGGTAATTGTAATTAATACAAATTAAATTTTAATTAGTTCTATCAAGTATACTATTAACAGTAGAAAGTGTATACCAGTAAAAGTAGGAAGTATTACAGATTATAAGTAATAATGTGCAAAGTAAAGTAGTATCTTACCGAAGGTGGGCTAGCTGATTCCATAAAAATAGACAATTAAACAAGCGAGGTCTGAAGCTAAGCAGATAAGGGCTTCAATTTACGAGCGGAAAGAGAATAGGAGAGGAGCGGGGGAACAGAAGGTACCAGTTTTTAACTCGCGAAAAACCGACAAAGAAGAAACCGTCAGAGACAAAAGGATGCATACCGCCTATGCGAGGCAGCCAGGAAAAGAAAGGTGCATTCTGCCTTGAAAGGGAGATACACAGTAAATGTGCTACCACGTTGGTCCTCGAGCACTCAAACTGGTGGTGTAGTGGCTAACACATTACTTCCGGATGTGAAGGGGGATGGTTCAGTTCCCTTCTGGGTCAAAGTCGTTTTTGTAAAAAATTTTCGTCCCTGACGTACAGGGATTCTAACTTGAAAATTCCGTATACTTATAAGTACAAAGCAATATGATGAACCTTGGTGCGCTTGTTTTCTGGGTTTGTGAGTAGCGTAAAGTGAGCACAAGTGCAGTGGTCTGTACGATAAGCACGAACAACGAGAGCCATTTCAGTCGGCCCCCAGTGTCCATTTTACGTAGTAAAACACGCGTGGTCACTCAGAATGCCCCAGTGAGTGACCACATCGGCTTGACCGGTGAAGCGATAACCATACAATAAGCCAAGGACGACGCTCTTCAGAGCACTTTCACAGCTGCTGCTGCTACTGCTGCTGTTGCTACTGCACTGCTGCTGCTGCAGTGCTGTTGATGCTGCACTGCAGTAGTACTGCTGCTGCTACCACTGGTAAGACTGCTAAACTGCAGCCACTGCAACTGTCGTGAACCTGAAAAACCTTTATTTCATTGGTATCGCGAGGCCGGAAACAAACATGGAGGGAGACAGGCCACAGCGACTAATTCCCTCACGAGGAATCCCTCCCAAGATACCCCTCTGGTTCCAATCATCGACAAACTGAGGCTGCGCAAACCCCTCCCTCCCTCCCCACCTCCTCCTTACTGCTTTCCAGTAGCTACTAATGTTGCCGGTGCGACCACACGTTTTTGCGACCCGAATTTCGGGGAGTTAGTAAAACTTGGCTCAGCCGCGCCGTTTTTATGCGTTTTTGCTGTGCAGTACTAGTTCGATTTGGGTTTGAGCTGCGAGTACACCAGTAGCGGGTATTTTATCTAGGCAAGTATCTAGATATCGTCTTCGGGACTACTAACTTCTCAGCATCAAGTTTTGGGACTGTGCGATAAAAACCGATAAGGGCATCTTCCGCAAACTTCGCCCCTGTTCCCAGTTCTTATTTCCAAGCGAGGTTCCAGCCCCTTCGCACTCAGTTGCCCTGCCTCCCCCTTTTATTACGGTCCCCAGGACCTAAACCACCACCCCCCACCCTACCCGCCGCCACCAGACCCCCTCCACTCCGCCTGTCAGTGATAGAAAATTGCCCCTTGACAAGGCCGAGCCGGTTTTTAGTAGTTGCGCTGAATTTGAAATCTTTAGCTCGTAGAGGGTCTCGTAAAATTTCAGCTTTCTGTCTTGTATGGTTCCGGGAAGCATTTTCCTGTCTGGATTGCACGATTCCATTCAGGCGTTCGTATGTGAGACCTGGGCGAACGTGAGCATTGATTTTAGAATGGGAGAGCTGCACAAAGGATGAGAATGCATTCCAAAAATATCAGCTTCTTTGCTGCTGAAAAGAAAACAGACAACAGAACTTGTGAATACACAAGCACACCCACACAAACAGGCATGCGCACAACATACACATACACAGAGGAAAAGTTTTGAAAACACATGTTTTCGCGCAGCATCAAGCATGCAATAAAGATGCAGCATTTTGCAAATTTTGCCGCATGGGCTGAGATCTCTCAAAAGCTCTCAAACTGAGCTGTGAATTATGTTAACATTCACTTGATTATTCCCTACAGACATTTACAGGGCACAAACTCACCATAATGCATTTCGATTGTTATCATGTAAATGAAGAGATAGACACTGCAAAACTGTGTTTACAAATAATTTGTGTAAGTCGGAAAACTGATTGAGCGGTTAAGCGAGAGATGGCCACCAGTGGAAACCAGTTCTTACAAAAGCAGTTGCTACAGGAAAGAATTTTGTTTTGAGAAATTCAATAATGCTGTAACATCAAAGTCAAAAGTCAAGCCACATTCACATTTCCTTCTATGGGAAATGAGGGTATTCGTAGCAGATACCAAAACTGGCTGCCCTCTGACAAATTCATCTACGGTTCCCTTAGTTTTTAAGGAATTTAAGCAGCTAAACATAATTTGAAAATTAGATTTTTACAATGCAGTTCTCCAAGTTTATTGCAAATAAGAGAACGAAAAAACACGGGTTTAATTTTACGCGCTTTTACATGAAACTGAAATGCATTACTTTGACCGGCTGCAGTTCATGGCGTTGTTCCTATCTGTACAAACGACAACTTTTCTAGTTGCTTTGCTCAGTACTGCATCATCTGGTGGTCAGTCTGCTGGCGATCCTGGCGTTTGTTTTGGTTCATGAAGGGATTATCAGCTCAGGAAGATGTGTCTGCCATCAAGTAAAAGAATGGTCTGCTGCATCCGTCAATTGCT